CAACTCCTGGGCTCAAGCGAGTCTCCTGCCTCAGCCTCCCAGGTAGCTGGGACCACAGGTGCCCGCCACAACGCCTGGCTATTTTTTGGTTGCAGCCGTCATTGTTGTTTGGCGGGTCCGGCCTGGGGATTCGAACCCGCCACCTTAGGTGTACGTGGCTGGCGCCTTAGCTGGTTGAGCTATAGGCGCCGAACCTCTTTTTTGTATTTTTATAAAGCATTTTTATAATGGCTGATTTAAAATCCCTGTCAAGGGCCAGGTGTAGTGGCTTGTGCCTGTAATCTTCATATTCTGGGACGCCGAGGCAAGTGGATTGCCTGAACTCAGGAATTTGAGACCAGCCTGAGCAGAAGCAAGGCCCTTATCTCTACTAAAAATAGAAAAATTATTGAGGTATTGTGGCAGGTACCTATAGTTCCAGCTACTTGGGAGACTAAGGCAAGAGTCTTGCCTGAGCCTAAGAGTTTGAGGTTGCTGTGAGCTAGGATGCCACCACAACACTACACAGGGTGCTAGAGTGAGACTCTTGTCTCCGGAAAACAAAAAACAAAAAACAACAAAATTCCTTGTCAGATAATTCTAACATCTGTGTCATCTTGATGTTGGTGTCTCCAGATTGTCTTAGTCAAATTGAGATTTTGTTGATTCTTGGTATGAGGAATGATTAATTTTCCGTTTAATCTTTAGATATTCTTAGCTGTTATTTTAGAGATTCTGGATATTACTTAAATTTTCTGTTTAGTATACTTCCTTGGATACTGCTTTGCTTCTTTACTGCTGCATGGAATTAGAAGTCTAAATTTCCAATTTGGATTTTGTTGACACTTTGAGATACATGGACAAAGGCATAAATAAAATCCCTTGCAGTAACCTTCCCTGTTAGTTGGTAAGTTTATATACTTCTAATCCGTATTGAGAACATCATAGTACATTTGTTGCTAACCCAATTTAGAGATCAAATTTATAGTTTATTTAGATGTGAAGTAATGACCAAGGGCACAAAACATTTTTAAAGTTTTTGATTCATGTATCCAAATTGCTTGTCAAAAGAGCATAAAATAATAGAATAATAACCATTTTCACCATATCTTGTTTGTATCAGCTGATTTCATAGCAAATGAAACATAACACCTCCAGACTTTTTCAGATCCTGTATTTACAGGTAAAAAATGTTTTCTTATGAGTGGCACCTGTGGCTCAAAGAGTAGGGCACGGGTCCCATATAATGGAGGTCATGGGTTCAAACCTGGCCCCTGCCAAAAACTGCAACAACAACAAAAATAAATAAATAAAAAATTAAAAATTAAAATCTACCTCTAAAAAAAAATTTTTTTTTTTTTTTTGAGATGGAGTCTTACTCTGCTGCCCTGTGGTTGAGTGTTTGGCATGTCATTGTAGCTCACAGTAATCTCAAACTCTTGGGCTAAAGCAATCTTCCTGCCTCAGCTTCCATTACCTCCTGAGTAGCTAATACTATTGCTAGGACCCACAGTAATGCCTGGCCAATTTTACTATTTTTAGTAGAGACTGGATCTCTTCTTGCTCAGGCTTGTCTCGAACTCCTGAGCTCAAGCAATCTACCATCTCGGCCTCCCAGAGTGCTAGAATTACAGGTGTGAGCCACTGAGGCTGGCTATTTCTAATTTAAAAAAAAAAACATCAGTTTTACTTCTCTTGTGTAGTACTTTAGGATGGAGTTGATGCATGCTGAAAAACTGAGGAAAGAAAAGCAAGAATTTGATAAAGCCAACATGGATGCGGTAAGGTCCTTTCAAATATTGTATTATAATTTATTAATATATGGTATTTTTAAGCCTGCTTAAGAGAAAAATCTTTGAAAATTATTTTTGTTTTTAATTTAATGTCACATTTTGCAACATTAAGACAAACGTAGGGTTGATTTAATTAAGTGGGCTTAGTAATAAAGGTGAAGTTTTGTGCTTTAAAAGTAGGTATTTGGACTCCTTAAACGGGTCCTCAGAATTATTACTGATAGAACAGCCAAAGGCTAGTCTTTAACACAGGTATGGTCTCAGTAGGTGATTCATTAATAGGTGGAGGAACTTGAGAAAAGTTGCCTCCTTTCTTTCCCTTTTAATAATATTTTTTTCTGTGCCAGAATAATTTTAAAGAAAAGATTTAGAGTATCAGTGCTAAAAAAGGGACTTTGCTATCTGTTATTGTGGATTGCATCTCAGAACTTTTTTTATTCAAAGAAAATATTACACAGAAGGACAAACAAGGCATGTAAAACCTAAGCTGTTGTGGTCTAATGGAGAGTGAGGGCTTTAGCTGTGTGATCTTGCCACTGCTCCAGGAGCCTGAGAGAACACAGCCTGGAGATCAGTGATCTTGTTCAAGC